GAGTCTGCCAGGACGGAGGCTGACCAGTTGGGCACTTGCAGCTCCAGCCTTATATAAAGCCAGGCAGCAGATACTAGGTGGTGTTATGGTTTAAGTCTGGATGTCCTCTCCAAGCCTTGTGTGGTCATAGGCTTGATCTAGAGTGTGAGAAGCTGGAATTGATTCATGATGCAATGCTAGGCTCAAGGGCACTAGAATTAAGGGTGTGAGTGCTACCCTCCCTAAGCAGTCTGAATAAGATAAAAGGGGCAGGGAGACGCTGTTAAATTCCTCTTTTACCTTTGCTACCTTGTGCATGCCATGTTGTTTCTCTTCTGTGACGCTTGTTTGCCATCCCAGTTTCAGAGCTTGCCAATTATGAACTGAAACCTCTATGAACTGTAAGCCAAACAAATCTCTTCCCTTTCGTCTTTGTCTCAGCAATGAGAGAAAAGTAACTAACACAGGGGGCCTGGCTCAGAGCTATGTCCTCCCCAGGACCAGCTGGGGCCCTGGCCAGGACTTGCCATTGCTGACCAACTGCCAGGCAAAGTACAACTGTCCTGGCACTGCAGAGGGCAGGGGGTTAGGTTGAGCTGGTGGTGTGAATGCAGGCAGCATAGTCTGGGACAGCATAGTCTGTTGGAGGGATCGCAGCTCCCTGAGTAACACCTATCTCAGTTCCTGGGACAGAGTCCTCACCAGCGCCCCCAAGAGGCTGCAGGTGAAATGTGCACAGCCCATTGGCCCAGGTGGCCCTCAGGAGGGCATCAGTGGGTAGGGTGGCTCCACCCTGCAAGCTAGAGGCCTCAGTCCCACCCAACTCCCTAGCTCTCCCTTTCTCCTGACACCAGGGCCGACCACTGTGGTGGAAAACCCCTCTTCTGTTATGGTGCGACATGGACCTGGGGGCACAGGGGAGGAGACGCACCCAGAGCCCCTGCCTCTGTGCCATTTGCATGTGCCCTCCTGGCTCTTGGGCTCCTTTGTCTCACCTGGGTCCTTGGGACAGGGACCCTCACCTGGCCCCCACCTCACTTTCCCTCAGACCTGGCTGGGCCTTGAAGTAGGATAGCAGTGGCTGGGGATGGCTCCCCGATCCTTAAATTGTGGCCACTGGTCTCACTCTGCCTCCCATCATCCTTCATCTCAACCCTGAGGCTTCCTTTTCTTGGTGGAACAGACCCTGAGAGGCTGGTCACCCAACTCGAGGCTGTGGGAGCATGGGACCAGATTTGGTTCTTGACTCAGGCCTCACAGTGGCTCAGGGAGGAACTCACATCCCTGAGCCCCTTGGAGAGTAGGCCCGGGGCTGAGAATGCTGGAGAACAGTTTGTTTTTTCAAGTTCATGAACAAGCTAGTTCTATGAGTCTCTCAGGCTCTCACTCTGGAAAACTCAACACTCATGCCCTTGAGCCCAGCTACTCAAAGGAAGCTTGGGCAGGATCTCCTAATATGTCACCTGTGTTCAAAGTGTCCAGATTTTATCACTTCTCAAAAGTTGCCTTCTTCCTTTCTTCCACAGTATTCTTACTACCTTTTCTAACTTTAAGTAAAAAATTAATAACAATATAAGCACAATCTTCCTACACAGATGTGATTCAAAAAGACAATTCAAATGAAAACATGTTTCTCGATTTGTTTTTTAGGTGAGGAACATCCTAGTTTTGTTTGGGCTGCAGTTGGTAGTTGACAGAAATTCATGTCCTCACACATTTATATCAGAAGAGAATTAGCTGGGCGTGGTGGTGCACTCCTGAAATCTCAGCACTTGGGAGGCTGAGGCAGGAGGATCGCTGTGAGTTCGAGACCAGCCTGGGCTACATAGTTCTAGGTCAGTCTCAACTACATGGTAAGACCCTGTCTCAAAAAACAAAACAAAACAAAAAAAACAAAAAATTAAGGGCATTATTCTGCTGAGATATTTATATTTAACTATTTTGAAATGATTTCAGATTTATAAAAAGTCACCAAAATTATGAGAATTATTCCATATCTTTGTTACTACATGATGAATTTAACAGGTATAAGCTGAGCTCTTATGTGCAAGGAGCAAGGAATCACAAGCTCAAACTTGATGTCAAGTATAAAGCAGCTACATTTATTTATTTATTTACTGATTGATTGATTGACTGATTGATACCAGGGATCGAACTTGGGACCTTGTGCTTGCGAGGTAGGCGGAAGAACCACTGAGCTAAATCCCTGGCCCTCAGCAGCTACATTTATTGAAGATGATGGGAAGTATACAAGGCAAGAAATATATGGCACAAACAAAAAGGTGGGGCTAGGGTGACAGGAAAGCAAAAACACTGCACACAAAATACAGCACTCAGCAACAGCCCCAGATAAATCAGGCTTTGGGATTTTAAAGGATGTGCACTTTAGCCCAGCCATCCCTGAATCCCTAGGTATGAATGACAGGAATGATTGACAGGAGCTATGTATCTCAGGGGCTCTGAACACACATGGGTGCCCCAGAATCCACTCTGATCCGAATTACATGCATGAGATATAGCATCTATTCAGGAACCCTCAGTAAGGGTGAGGTAGGGGAAAGGTGACTGAAGATCAGGCTAGGAATCCAACAGATTATGCTCTCACCTAGGACATCAGAGATTACCTGGGTTTTGTTTTGTTTTGTTTTGGTATCAGGTATCAAATTTGGGACCTTGCCCTTTGGGAGACCTGGGTTTTTGTTATGTGATTCTCTGCCTCTCTCAGGACAATGGGAAGAGGAATAGCACTGCTTTCATTTAGAACAACAATGACAAAAATATGTATCTGGGCATGATGACACATGCCTGTAATCCCCACACTCTGAACCTGAGACTGGAGGATGTAAGTTTGAGCTGAGTCTGGGCAACTTAGTGACTTAGTGAGACCCTGCTTTAAAATTAAAAAGAGGAGGAGGGCAGGGGGCTGTAACTCTGTGTGAAAGCCCTGAATGGATGTTCAGTACAAAGGTTCTGTATGAAGTTTCAGTACCAACAAAAAAAAGAAAAGAGGGGGTGGGGAGAGGAAGAAGGAGGAGGAGGAGGAGGGGAGAAGGGGAGGAGAAGAGGAGAGGGAGAAAGAAAAAGCTGGGAGCCTTAAATGCATATCACTAAGTGAAACAAACCAGTCTGAACAGGCTTTAGATTGTGTTACTCCAACTGTTTCATTCTGGAAAGGGCAAAGTCAAGCAGATAGTTGCCAAGGGCTGTTGAGGGAGGAGAGTGAGCAGGTGGAGCTCAAGATTTTCTAAAGCAGTGAAACAGTTCTGTAGGGTAGAGTAACAGTGGTTCAAGACACAGTGCATTCTTCAAAACCCATGGAACTGTATATCACAGAATGGAGTTTATGTAATTACCGGGTAAATTCTGTTTGGTAAGGTAAATTTTGGTTATTCTGTGTGAGGATTGAGCCTAGCACCTCATGCATGCTAAGCAAGTGCTCTCCATTGAGATGTGCCCCAACCCTGTACTTATGATAAAGAAAAATAGGGTTCTGCCAGCCAAAGTAAGTGATCTTACAGCCATCTGCTCTTTTGGCCTGTGCCTAGGTAAGCTGAGCCACCTGCTGGAATATTTGCATAGTCCTTCTGCCCTGACCTGCTCTGTCTTGCTGGGTTCAGAAACAGGATAGGTGCAGCCTGATGGGGGCTACATATGGCTCCAGTCCCCAGGTAATGGGAAAGGGTCCTGGCCCAGGAGCGATTCGAACCATCCTGGGAATTTCTATAGGTCTGAGGCACTCAGGAAGTTGAATGGCCGGGGGAGAATCAGCAGCCCCATTGAAGGGCAGGCTGTGTCCTTTCACATGTCCCTGGATGTCCCTTTGGCTTCTCAGGCCCCTAGTCCAGTCCTCGTTAGCGTGTGCTCACTACCCTAGAGCTCCTTTCTCAGTCATGGCCACTGGGTCCTCACCCATCTTCATCTGCCCTTCATGCACCCTTTTTCATCCACTGTTTCAGCCTTTTCTGATTTCAGCCAGAATGTTGCTCTGAGGGGCCAAAGGCAGGATCAAGGTCCCTAGCTCCAAAAGGCACAGAGTGACAGGTGCAGAGGCTATGGGAGATCTTGACCCAGCACAGCATCTGGGTTATATTTACACATTCCTAACAATCTACTCCACCACAACTAGACTGGTCCCTCAGCATTCTTGTCCCCTGAGACCCAGAGATTCCAGAAGCCCCCACCCTCCACACTCTAGGGCCACTGTGCTGCAGTGTGCGGAGGTGGGGTTGATGGTGAAACCTGGAGTGAAAATTCATAACCACAAGTCGAGGGGAGGGGCTTCTGGATTCCAGCAAGGAATCCTGGGATTCTGGGCAGCCTCCTGGGAATGGGGGGCGGGCACAGCACAGCCTCATTCAGACCCACTGAGGAGTTTCTGGGCCCACCTTCATCCATGGGGGAAATGACAGCTGAACAGTGGGGCTGAACAGGGATCACGGGGGCAGGTGATGGAGGGGGCAGGGTTGCAGACCATAGAGCACAGGTAGGGGAACTGGGGAGAGGGAAGCTGCCCAGCCACAGGCCAGTCCCTCCTTATCAAGGGCCTTGTTCTTACCACCCCTCTAGCCCTCTTGGACAAGCCCATCCCTATGCCCAGTGGTGCCTGCTCAGTCTGGCAGCCCTGAGGGCCACATCAGTCCCCTAGTCCCTCCCTGGTTCTCACCTGTGCCCTCACTTGGTCACCCTCCTGCTTATTCCTCCCAGGCCAGACCTGTGGCTCACATCCACTAGGCCTCACTTCTTTCAGCAAACAGCGACCATGTCATGTGGGACCCCTGCCTGGCCCCTCCCCGATCCTCTTCTGAACCCCCGAGCCTCCCCTCCTTATCTGAGCCTCAAACATCCTGTGAGTGTGCTAGGCCCCTCCAGCAGGGACAGTCCAGTCCTTGCTTGGTTGTGGGCAGCTACGTGGTTCTGAAGAGGTTCAGGCTGCAACACCTACAGAGGCTGGCTGTACGGAACTAGGGGAGCGATGAGTCTGGGGAGGGGACAGAGAAGGAGCAGGAGCCAGGCCATGGGGCAGTGAGAGTTTATTGTCTCTGAGGAGTGAGGGGCACATGGTGGGGATATCACAGTGTTCCTCTGCTTGGGCTCCTTGGACATTGGTGGCTGAAATGGAGAAGGCGGAGCTACAGTCTAGACTTAGCAGGTCCTTCCTGTTCCAGCAGCCTGCTCAGGGCATGAACCTTTTACAATGAGCCCGTCCCACAAACCAGAAAGGCCACCTTCTTCTTTATTAGGAGCAGAGCCTGCTTTTCTGTCTTCTTGAGTGAAAGTGTCAGACAGGGGCATGATGGGGTCCAGGGTGGAGGCCAAGGTGCCCTCCCTGGCACTTCATGCAGGAAGCATCCCCCAGGGGGTCCTGGAAGGGACAGAGGGTTGTAGCTGGAGATGGACAACAGGATGTGCCAATGGTTGAGTGGGGTGCTGGGTGAGGATGCTCACAACAGAGTCCAGAGGAAGCCCAGGCCCACCAGTGTCAGGAGCCCCCCTGGCCTGACCCAGGGCCCCTTCTGCCTGGTGGGTGCCTTGTTGCAGAGATTCTTGGAGCAGCAGTGCCTTCCAATCCTTGCTTGTATCCCAAGGTTGGGCATCCACTCATACCAGCTGTTGGAACTGGGACATCTGGGGGCACAGCGTTTGCTGATCTGAACTTCCATCCTTAAATCTGTGAAGATAGGAGATAGTAGGTGTCCCCCCAGAGCCCCAGGTAATGGGAAGAGGTGGGGGCTTTTCAGTGGATCTGGCCCTACAAAGGGCACTGAAGACTTCCTTGTGCTGCTTGTTCACAAGTGGGACTGCCCAAGGTCACCTCCAAAGGCACAGCAAAGAGTGGGGGCTCTTCCTTGCAGCCAAGCAATGCCTGGGCCACCTCCTGCCCAGGGGGTGGGAGTCAGGGGAAATGGAGTGAAGAGGGCAGAATGGAAAAGAACTGGTAGCCACAGAGAACCTGTGGGATGCCCAATGGGGCTGTTTGTCCAAAGTTGCAGCAGGGACTTCCAGAGAGATGTATTTCCAACAATCATGAAACCATCATCCTAACCTGACTCGAGAATGGGTCATTTTAGGTGGAATCTACCTCTTTAATTGTGTTATAGTTTGCTGTATCATGTTGCATCATATGTTGTATTATATTGCATTATATTATAGTAATTTGCAATGTATTCTGTTATATAGCATGAGCAATTATATTATGTCCTATTATAATACATTGCAGTCTACTCTGTTGTATCACATTATATTGCATTATGATGTATTATGCTATGCTTTATTACACTGCAGTGTATTGTACTGTATAATAAGTATATCACAGGCTAAAAAGAACACTGCACAGTGGCACAGGATTTACGGTAATGAGGGAGCCTCTAGCAAGCATGGAGCACTGGCCTCCTTTGAATCCCTGACTGAGCAGCAGTCCCCCAGGCTGTGCCCCACAGTGCTCGCAGTGCAGATCTCAAAGGCCAGGGAGCTTCCTGAACAGGTGGCCCTGGAAGAGAGCCCACTTCCTACACTGAGTGCTCCTATTATGTTACCTTCCAGGACAAGAGAAACTGTGAATTAGAAACTTGGGGGGAGTCTGGATTGAGGACACAGTGCAAAAGAAAACAAAGCTGGGTGTGAAAACAAAATTTAGTTCATGTGTGAAATTCCTTCATTCTAATAGGAAGAAAAGGAGACCTTGGGGGCTGGAGCAGTCGCTGAAGGGACAGCGGGTTTCACACTGGGAGAAACAGCACATCTAGCAGTCCTTTTGCCTCCTCCCTTGGGAAAAATCCTACCTTGACTATTGCTTTATTTATTTGTTTGTTTGTTTGTTCATTATTTATTTATTTTTTGAGACAGGGTCTCGCTATGTTGTCCAAGCTGGCCTTGAACTCACTATGTAGCCCAGGTTGACCTCGAACTCTCGACAATCCTCCTGCCTCAGCCTCCCGAGTGCTGGGATTACAGGTGTGCACCACCACACCCAGCTTTTTGTTTTTTGACTATTGCTTTAAACTGCTGGCAGAAAAGAACAATCGGGTTCTATGTCAGCTGTGACAGCAGTTGGAGGTGCCACTTGGGACATCATGTAGAGCATATATGTCAGAAGCCTGCTCCTCTGGGAAAGGCATCTCACACCTGCACCTCCACTTTAGAGACTGATCTACAGGAAGCCCAAGTATGCAAGTTGTGCTTTGAAGCATCATTCCTAGGAAATCAGGGTGGGCGCCAACCTGAGGTCCACTAGTGGAGTTGTGTTAAAAAGAATTGTGCTGTGACTGGGCCTCTAGGAGAGGGAAGGCAGCTCTACCAGGCTGGCCAGACCCCAGGGAGCTAGAACCATCCAGCAATTTCCAGCAACTCACATGAGCTCAGAGTGGGTCTTCTTGGGGCTCTCAGGACACTTTTATAAATGACTGTTTCTGTGGGGCTAAGAAATGTGTTCATAGATTCTTTCATAATCCTCTCTATGGCTTATTCTTAGAATCAGGTCTTATTGCTTTTTAAACCCCGTGGTATGCCCATGAGGGGCAGCCTTGGGATGTGTGGGTCTTGTGTGGCAGGATGGCACAATCTCCTGTCTAGGGACAGCATCTGTTGCCTAGCTAACTCTCCTTTTGCCTCCCTCTTTTGTGAATTCACTGACAGCAGAGCTTCTGTCCTGGTGACATTTTGGTGGGGGGGAGGTGTTACACAAGAGCTTCTTCTCCAAATAGCACAGAGAACATGAAGAGCCACAACCACCCCCTCAGCCCGGGGCAAGACTCACTGTTGCGGACGACCACCTTGTGGGAGACACAGACTTGATCAGTGGCTCGGCACACGGCAGGCTGGCACTGGCTTGTGCTGCTGACCTTGAAGCATTGGAAGCAACTCAGGTTTGAGGCTGTGGGGACACAGTAGGTATGGGAGCCTTGGTCCCAATACCCCCATCCTTCTCTGGGCTTCCACCCCAGCCCTATTCCTTCCCCAGGGCCCAGGTCTTACCTGACATTGTCATCTTGTCTCCCTGGAGCTCTACCAATGCCAGGGGCACCCACAGTACCAGCACCAGCATGAGCCCCTCTGTGTGTCCCCTTCCCTGTGTCCTCCCTGGTCGGTGCCTTTCCGAGGCCCTGGGACCTGACTGAGCCTCCTCACTAAGGAAGAACAGCTGGGTTGCCATGACCTCTCAGCCAACCCTCCCTCTGCCCTGAGGTCTCCTCCCCATCCCCCACTGGTACATGCCATGGGACTCAATGCCCAGACTGGTTCTTGGATCAGGGCCAGGATGGCTCAGGGAAGGACAAAATGCCCCTAAGGCTATGGGAGGATGAAGATAAAGGGCTACCTTCCCTCAGGTGTGGCAGAAGTGGTCAGAGGCTGGAGGGGACATCTAAGAGGGCTAAGAAAGGGGTCTGTTGGAGACATGGTGGTTTGAGCAGTCAGCAACATGTAGGGCAGGGAAGCGGGAGAAAGAGCCTGTCAAGGGAGGAGAAGGAAAGAGAGAGGAGGACATGGTAAGCACCTAAAATCAGGACCCCCTCAGATGACCCTGAGGCTGGGGATGGGGACAGCAGGCTTCCAGTTTGGATGGGAGTAGGACACTGCTTCAGGGACTCCAGTAGGTTTCTGGGCCATGCAGAAGGGCTGTCCCCTTGGGGAACTGAGTCTGAGGGACCTGAGTTGGGCCTTTGAAACTCAAGTCCTTTGCCCCAGGTCAGTCTCCTGGCCAGCTGACTGTCCCTGTGATGGGACTCAGCCTGGTTGTCAGTGTGTTTAATGCCTCGAGGTCCCCCAGGGTTTGGGCTTCTAGTCTCCCCCCATGTAGTGTGGAACACAGCACTCCCTGCTACCATTACCATAGGCCTCCTCCCCACTTATCTACAAATCCTTCCCTTGTATTATTATTTTCTATTACTTTATTTTTAATTTTATTATTATTTTATTCTCATTCTTGTTCTTATTATTTGGAGGCAAGTAAGCTGAACCAAATTCTCTCTGGGTTATTGGAACCAGCAGGCCTGGAGGTCGCAGCCTGTGAGGATTTGAGGTAGAAGCTACCTCCCACAGCCAAGGGGTGTCCTGGGTGGGCTTTCTTTCCTTTGGAGGTGCCCACAGCCCTCTGTGAACCTCTACTACCTCATCATGGGACCAACTTCACCAGGGGACCAGCATGTCTGCTGTCCCTAACCCAGCAATGGAATGCTGCCTTCACCTGGGGGTCACCAACCCAGTATCTCCTGTGAGCGTCTCCCTGGACCCTGTCTCCTCAGCTCATCTCCCTCAGCTGCCAGATGCATCCATCTGGGGTCAGAGGCCTCACAGCTTTCACACTAGGTCTCCGGTTCATTCTTTCTTTCTCCTCTCTGCACTCAAATCTTTACCCTCACAGTTTGAACATTGTAAGATGGTGGGGTAGAGACCTGGGATTTGCTTTGGTGAACACAGCCCCGATACCTTTCTTCAGGAGTCTTACAGCAGCTGAGCCCTAGACAATGAAAGGATAACCATTACCTCTAAGGTAGCTGGAAAGTGCCCAGGAGCCTGGCTTCCCCATGTGGACTCAGTGAGCCTCTCACCCCACAGTTGTCCACCTACTCCCCATGCTGCCTAGTGTGGGCCCAGGGTGGCTGTGCCTTTGGACCCCACCTGTCTAGCTGCGGCTCCCTCTCGTTCTTTTGTCCCACAGTACTCCCACCCTTTTGGCCATTGAGCCTCTGGGTGGGGTGGGCTTTGAGGGGATAGAACTGAAAATGTGTACTTATGTTTCTTATGTACTCGTGGGTATCTTATGTTGTGCATATATGCATTTGGCATTTTTGCTGCAATAGATTTGAGTGTGCAACTCATTAAGTCAAAACCAGGGAGAGCAGTGGAGGGGGATGTGATAAAGGAGTCTGCACAGAGGGATGGAGTTCAGGAGGAAATCTGTTCATATGGGACCTGGGACTGATGGCAGAGTGTCCTGGAAGCCGTTTCAGGGTCACTTAAGTGACAGGTGGAGGGCCAAAGCTTCCCCTTGACTTGACCCTCTATTGTATTTTTTTTTTCCTTTTTGGTATTGGGGATCAAATTCTGATCTGGTCCTTGTGAGGCAGGCAGCAGAGCCACTGAGTTAAATCCCCGACCCTATTGTCTGAAGGCTGCCAGGGTAGGATGCCACCTGCTAAAAACAGCCTCTGGTGTGTGTTTTTGAAAGGGAAGGAATAGGACAGCAAATATTGTCAAAATACATTACACACAATTGGGATATGTATTATGTTATGAAAATTTTAATTTCAACATATGCATGTGTTTTGAGATATGCATGCAAATATATTTGTGTGTATATGTTTGAATATGCAATATATATTTGTTATAAATGTGCTTATTTGATATATACTGAATGTTTTATCTTTTAAAATATAGTATTTATATTCCTATGTTGTAATCAGTGTTAATGTTATAAATATGTCATGCACGGCCAGGTGTGGTGGTGCACGCCTGTAATCCCAGCACTTGGGAGGATGAGGCAGGAGGATCACTGTGAATTCCAGGCCAGCCTGGGCTCCATAGTGAGTTCAAGGTCAGTCTAAACTACATAAGGAGACCTGTCTTGAAAAAATATACATCATGCAGGTATAAATGTTTATATATGTTACATGTTTCAAGGTTATATATTTTTTCTTGAGGCTATTTTATCTGTAGATCTCAGTCAGGGAAACTTGGAAGCCATGCATTGAAGAAAGCTCTTCTCCCTTATTTTAGGGTGGCCCCCACCACCAGGGAGCTGGACATCAGGATGCATATCATAGGTATGTGACTCAGCTTCCACCAGACTCCTAACTCTAGCAGAGATATGGACAGAAACAATCTGTGGGATTTCTCTGGGGAAGTGGATCTTGGCCTGATGTCCAGAGGTGGCCTCTGACGTATCTTGAGGTCGGCTCCATGATCTCTCTCACTGGGTTCTTGCTGTGAGGTGCTAAGCTGAATTTTAACATGAAAGATCCCAGTGTTCTTGCTAAGTTTGTACAAATGTCTCTGTTTTCTTTTCACCTTGGCTGATGGGAAGCTCAGAGACTAATCACTTGCCCCAGGCACATGTGTGGGGCCTTGGCAGGCTTTTGGACTGCCTCTTCTGGTTCTTCTCTGATCATTCCTTATTTGTCTTCTTCCCCTTACTTTCCGGGCTTTGAGTGTCTGGTTCTTAGTTTTTGTGGTTCTTTAGGTCTTTGACTGTAAGGACTTGGTGACTTAGCCTCCTCCAGACTCCAGTTCTTGGCCTTGCAGGAGGAGGGCTTGCCCAGTCTTGCTTCAGTCAGGTGACTCTGGTCAGCTCACTCTCGGCTGGTGCAGGGCCCAGGCAGCAGCGGGGCTTCGAGCACAGACCCTGTTCCTCCTATCCTGAGCAGATGACCTGGCGTTCTCATGTTGGAGGCTGACAGCTGATGTGACTGTGTTCTAGTTTTAATTCCAAGTCCAGTGACATCGCCATGGTTGAGATATCTTCCTCAGGCACTCAGTCCCCCTCATTCATTCTGTAAACTCAGGCATACGGTGCACCAGGGGGGGAACCTTGAACTGGACCATCCAGTACTTTCCGCTTGTGCTCAGTGTCCAGATCGTGCCCATTTTCACACTGGCGCATTGCCCATGCTAATAGCACTCTCTGACCCAGGGAAGGAGACATAAGGAAAACACAAATGATGTGGTCATGTATATCGAAATATGGAAAACCAGGATCTTGATGCACTGTAGTTGAAGGAGGATTCTGTTGGAAATTAGAAAGGGATAAAATTAAGAACCTGCCCATGAAAGTCAGCAAGAGCGGTCCCTGAAGGGAATAGCCCCTGTGCTTGCATAGGCAAATATGGGAGGTCAAAGATTTTGAGTAGTTCAAATTAATTTTCATAGGCAGCTTGGTAAGTAGGAGGGAGATGTTCCTCAGATCCGCGCGGAAGGTAGCCATGGGAATATGACTGGGAGTCTGAAAGTGACAAACACATGGAAACCATGGTGTAAACACACCAGGAAGCCATGGGATGAATAGTGATAGAACAGGAAGCAGACACAATCACAAGCGCCAGGCCTGTTTCTTAAAAACCAAAATTAGACAAATTTCTGGCAAACTAAGGAAATGGAATCCACAGACGAATCAAGTGAATGAAAACAAGGGCCAAAATCATAGATTTTTTAGAAAGGAGAAAGGCTTTCACTTCTGGTTGGCCCGTGGAAGCAGCGCGAAACCTGCCTTCTGGTTGTGACCATGAGAGCACGGAACTGCACACAGATGTCCTCAGGGCCTTCCAGTGCCCTGCACAGTGGTGCTGTGAGTCCCAGGGGAAGGGCAGGTGCTTGCCTCACAGTGATCGGATGGGAACTGAACCTGGGGACAGGTGCACAGTGCTATCCCACAGCAGGCGCTCTGTCTGAGGAGAGGAGAAAAGGACATTTCTTGATTGTTTGGTATGTAATTCCTGAAACATTACAAAAAAATTATAATAAATACAGGAAAGTGTTATTTTCAGTCAGAAGAAAATCTATTCAGTGGAAACAGACACACAGATAACCCAGATACTGGGATTAGCAGACAAGTGCTTTAAAATACTACTGGCCAGCTCCCTCTTGGCTCTATATTGACCAGAATGGAGCACAATCTGTACAAAATGATGAAAGATGGAGAATTCCAGCAGAGAAATGAAAGATATCAGAATACGTGCTCATTTGGAACTAATTAATACCTAAAATTAAGAACTTCCTTAATGGGCTTAACAGTAGGCTAAACTCACAGTAGAAGAAAACTAATGAAGTTTAAGATAGATCAATAGAAATTACCCAAAGTGAAGCACAGAGATACAACTGAATGAGAGACCAGAAATCAACCAATAACAAATGCTGGTGGGACTGTAAGGAAAAAGGAACCCTTCTCCACTGTTGATTGGAGTGCGGGCTGGTGCAACCACTGCGGAAATCAGTGTGGAGATTCCTCAAACTAAAACTAGAGGTTCCATTTGGCCCAGCTCTTCTTCTTGGTATCTTTCTGAAAGAATTAAAAGCATTATACTACAGTGATATATGCTCACCCATGTTTATAGCAGCACAATGTGTAATAGCTAAATCTTGGAAACAGCCCAAATGCCATCAATTGATGAGTGGATAAAAAAGATGCTTTTTAAAAATACAATGGAGTACTACTCTGCCATAAAGAAGGATAAGCTTCAGACACTTATAGCTAAATGGATGGATCTAGAGCGCATACTCCTATGTGAAATAAATTGGACACACATATTTAAATACTGCATTGTTTCTCTGGGGTGAGAAACCTAAAGGGGAAATAAGGACTGAGATGCATGATAGATATTTGGAAATGGGAAGAAAGTGTTCAAATGGGAAGGGGAACAAGGGAGGAGGGAGGGAGAAAAGAAGAAAGGGACAAGAAAAAAGTAAAAATAGAAGGAAAAAATGGAAACAAAGCTTTTGAACATAGGGAGGGGAGG